CTTTCCCTCCCAACCAGGGTACCCGCATCATGCCTTTGATTTATTCCGTGCATAGAGATGTCACCCAGTTCAAAGACCCAGAAGTGTTTGACCCCACCAATTTCCTGGACAAGGAGGGAAGCTTCCACCGCAACGATGCTTTCATGCCCTTTGGTACAGGTGAGTTTTAAGTTGGGTGCTGGGGAGGGTGCCGGTGAAAAAACACCATGCAACCCCCCCAGGGCAGCTTGTTCACACGAGCAGGAAGTTTGGGGTGGTGGGGCATGGAATAGAGGACCACACACCACAAAGTACTGCTGATCCATTTTTCTTCTGAATGTTGAAGCTCCTTTGAAGCAAGAAATGGCCAAGTAGAAAAGGAAGTGGTGTTTTGTGGAGTGCTACAGAATGCAGAATGCAGTTTGGTGTAGTGGTTAGGAGCACGGACTCTAATCTGGGAGAACCGGGTTTGATTCTGCACTCCTCTACATGCAGCTGCTGGTGTGACTTTGGGTCAGTTACAAGTTCTCTCAGAGCTGTTCTCTCAAGAGCAGTCCTCGAGAGAGCTCTCTCAGCCCCACCTGCCTCACGGGGTGTCTGTTGTGGGGAGGGGAAGGGAAAGGAGATCGTAAGCCACTCCTGAGACTCCTTTGGGTAGTGAAGGGTGGGGTATAAATCCAATCTCCTCCTCCTCCTCCTCCTCCTCCTCTTCTTCTTCTTCTTCATCATCCAAGGACAGAGAACTGGGGTGAGGGAAGGTGTAGGCTGACTCTCTCCCCTAAACTGTTTCTGTCTTCTGCACCTCGCAGGGAAGCGTGTTTGTCTCGGAGAGCCCCTGGCTCGCACGGAGATCTTCCTCTTCCTCACCACACTGGTGCAGCATTTCGCCTTCCGGCCCGTGGTTCCGCCAGAGGAAATCGACCTCTCCCCAATGGCGATCAGCTTAGTATCTGTCCCACACCCCTTTAAATTCCGGGCCGTCCCCCGCTGAAGGATCTCGTTGGGGAGAGCGGGATAAAGAAGGTGAAGGGGTGTCTTTCTTGCCAACAGCAACCCGGGCTTCCTTGCTTAGCTATCTATCCCTGGGAACTGGGTCAATGTGCGAAGGCAGGATGTGTTGTTGGCATGATGCACTCTTGCATGGACTCTTGCACGTGTGAAACACAGCAATCGCCTCCCGGAATCTGAAGGCAGGCACGCCGTGGCCAGCATCTGGTCCTTAGGTGATGACTTAATCAAACAATACAGGATCCTGCCCCTGAGCTAGGCGTTTCTCCTGTGTCAGGAAAAGACCCGCTCCTGTTTTTCCTCTTTTCTCCGTGGATGAGACTTCTAGACTTCTCTGGTCTGGTCAGAGCTTCACGCATTCCTCAGAATATTGTATGCTAAATATTGGAGAGTAACAGAGACACCCTCGAGACAAGAAATTTTAAGCAAAAATTTGAAAATGGCGGAAATGGACAAATTAACTCTGATTTTGAAAGGACAACCAGAAACTGTATTCGAGGACACATGGTCAAGATTTTACCAATGGTTTGAAGATTATTCCAAGCAATCAACAGAGTCATTTAAACGTTTAGGTGAAGGGCCTTATAGCTCCCATCTACAAGATTTTAACAGAACATGCCACAGACAACCCACACACAGCTATCAACAAGCATGGCACAAAGGCTTGAAACAAACCCTCACTCAAGAACAATGGGATAGAATATGGACATCTCACTCCAAACTTTCAAAATCCCTAATCATAAACTCTGTAGTGCAGAAAGTTTTAATGAGGTGGTACTTAACCCCAGCTGCAGGCTGCAGGCTGTGGGAGGTCGATAGTTCAGCAGTTCGAGACCCGGGTGCCACATGACGGAGTGAGCTCCCGTCTCTAGTTCCAGCTCCTGCCAACCTAGCAGTTCGAAAGCAAGACATTGCAAGTAGATAAATAGGTACCACTTCAGTGGGAAGGTAACAGCGTTCCGTGTGCCTTGGTGTTTAGTCATGCTGGCCACATGACCATGGAAACGTATTCGGACAGCGCTGGCTCTTTGGCTTTGAAACGGAGATGAGCACCCCAACCCTAGAGTCGGATTCGACTGGCTTTCGAGCAAGGGAAACCTTTACCTTTACCTTACTTAACCCCAACCAAACTGTCTCATATCTATGTGCAAATCTCTCCACTATGCTGGAAAAAC